GCCAAGGTTATGTGTCATAAAACATAACGTAGTGCTCCTCATTACCCATAAACTAATCCATTGTTCTATTTTTCCTCCACTTCCTCTTCCCTCATCTGCCCATAGCCAAGTTCAAGTCAAAGTGTGCACCTACATTCTTCGCCTGCGCTAATGGTGTCCACTGCATTATTGGACGCTTCCGCTGTAACGGCTTCAGTGACTGTCCAGATGGGAGTGACGAGGAGAACTGCAGTGAGTGTCACACAGCGAACCAAGTCCAATATGAGCGATGTGTCTCACTTCATGGTCACCAGAAGTCATGGTCTGTTCAATGATGTACTGTCCTCCAATCTTAACAATTTATACTGCAGCTATTGACCATACACTCAGTGGATGGTAGAGAACTGAGTATGTACTGTACTTTACTCAAGTAAAGGTACAAGCAGTACCTGAGTAAGGTGTTAAAAAGGCATTCCAGCAAGTTTACCCAGTATTCTTCAGCCTTTAAAAACAATTGTGTGTTATAGAATCTGCTGTCACTTTGGAGGAGAACTCTGAAAATCGAACCCCGATGATGTGATAATGATGTAATCAGGCTTATCTCAGTCTGGGCTTGGAGATCAGAAATAAAAGAATTCATAAGAAAAAATATATGAGAAAGTAAAAGAAAGTTACCAACTGGTGGTGTGGAGTTTGAAAGCTGAGAGCGGTCTCAAAAAAGATGCTGTTGTTTGCATTATGTCAATTTTATGGCCAGTTTTAACAATTTTATAATCTGTCTCTTTTGAGTCCCCCCCAAGTTAGAGGAAATGCAATGCTAAATAGGTGGAATACCCCTTTAATGTAACACTTGCCTTCATCAGTGAACTAATAAATAAATACTCTGAGTGTAGTTTGAATGGGCCTGTGCAAAATAATAGGAAACAAACAACACGCAGCAATAAAAAGGTTTTACCGTAGGCACGATGGCAGACAAACGGCGCCACATCTCTGTACAAGTCAAACATTTCCATCTTTCCTCTCCTCTTCTCTACTTTCTCATTTTTTTCCCCTTATGCTCCTTTGAGAACTAATACAGTGCAATGAAAAGACATTGCTCACAAAACTAAGTCGATTGAACCATAGTTATTTAAAAAGGAAGTTCATTGGGTTTTTCCACAGGCACATCATCATTCACCATAACTCATGCTTTTTTAAGAACTGTTTATGTGAACAGATGTGGTCGGAGTTTGTAGCTAGAATCTTTTTTCATTTTTATTGTTTGTGCTGTGCTGTGGTTTCTAGCGTTGAATTTCTCAGACTTTCAAGCAGGTATTACTGTATTTATGTTCCCTCTTTCAAAGTGAAAATGAAGAAAAATGTCATTTTGTAAAGGATGCAGTTTCTCCCACAGCTCTGCAGGCTTCTCAACTCGCTGTCAAATCATACATTTAGAGCAAATAATGAGAGTTTTACCAAATGTATAACTGAGAAATGTAGCGAATTTTATTACCTTTTCAAAAACATTTGAGGCATTTACTTCCCTTTTTTGCATTTCAACCTCTGACTATGTACCTGTGGGTCTAGATTTACATGTTTGCTTGAAACATCTACACAGCACTAAAGAGACTGTAGCTCATAAGTTGATTGCATGGGATGCATGTGAAACACTGGGATCCAGGTTTAGTCCATATTTTAAGGATATACTGTACATTGTCCTCACATGACCCCGTCCGTGCTTTCTCAGTGGGACATGTGCATGAAGCCAATCACTCACCACTGTCAGAGGCACTGCCTGCAGGGCCCCTCGCTCACATATCTAATCTAGCCATTTAAATGGAGCTTTGCTCCATTCTCCCAGCACATACTGCGTCACCACTGTGTAATTGTCTGGATCTTCTCACAAGATAATGCTGCCTTATTTTGCAGAACTAAGCTAAAAGCAAGACAAATGAGAATGTATGCTAAAGAGAAATGGTAGTGTTGGGCAGGATTTGAATGTTTTTAAGATTTTTTTTGTTTGACTTGTACAGACTCCCCAGATCCGTTGTTATACTAACTCACACAGTTTTTAATGTCTTAATACTGTGAAAATCCCCATGATATGTACTACTAATGTTTCTCTTTTAAATGTATCCATATCAACGTGTTGTATATGGGAGTGAATCAGCACAAACTTCTAAAAAAAAGTTTAATTATTTGTTTATGCACTGAAGTTCTTTCTTTGAAGAAAAGTTAATCACACATGTGCTCCTGCTTCTCCTGTTCAACTTTGATAATTGTTTTCTGTAGCCCTGATGGAACTAACACTTGACTTCTGCTCTGACTAAACCGCAGCAGGTAACCCACTGGTGTGCTCGGAGGCTCGCTTCAAGTGTCACAATGGACGCTGTGTAGACCGCAGCTTCTTGTGTAATGGTCAGGACAACTGTCAGGACAACAGTGATGAGGAGCTCTGCCTGACTACAGTGGGTAAGCCACTAACTCAGACATGGACAGGGTCATATATGCAGGGAAAAACCGAAAACTCTTAAAAAATGTAATGTAACATCTACCCAGGCACTAAAGGTCTATCAGGGCCACGCTAAGGATGCTTCCACAGACATTCTTAATTCTTCAGTTTGGCCTTTAAAGAGCTATATGGTGCCAGAAAGTCTAAGAACATTCAGCATGTACTGTATGTGGCATATATACTGCACACTAATAAGTTGAAATCTACATTTTTTTTGGAGAAGCAGATACTTTGTGTGCACAATGTGAATTACAGTGCCTTGCGAAAGTATTCGGCCCCCTTGAACTTTGCGACCTTTTGCCACATTTCAGGCTTCAAACATAAAGATATAAAACTGTAATTTTTTGTGAAGAATCAACAACAAGTGGGACACAATCATGAAGTGGAACGAAATTTATTGGATATGTCAAACTTTTTTAACAAATAAAAAACTGAAAAATTGGGCGTGCAAAATTATTCAGCCCCCTTAAGTTAATACTTTGTAGCGCCACCTTTTGCTGCGATTACAGCTGTGAGTCACGTGGGGTATATCTCTATCAGTTTTGCACATCGAGAGACGGAAATTTTTGCCCATTCCTCCTTGCAAAACAGCTCGAGCTCAGTGAGGTTGGATGGAGAGCATTTGTGAACAGCAGTTTTCAGTTCTTTCCACAGATTCTCGATTGGATTCAGGTCTGGACTTTGACTTGGCCATTCTAACACCTGGATATGTTTATTTGTGAACCATTCCATTGTAGATTTTGCTTTATGTTTTGAATCATTGTCTTGTTGGAAGACAAATCTCCGTCCCAGTCTCAGGTCTTTTGCAGACTCCATCAGGTTTCCATCCAGAATGGTCCTGTATTTGGCTCCATCCATCTTCCCATCAATTTTAACCATCTTCCCTGTCCCTGCTGAAGAAAAGCAGGCCCAAACCATGATGCTGCCACCACCATGTTTGACAGTGGGGATGGTGTGTTCAGGGTGATGAGCTGTGTTGCTTTTACGCCAAACATAACGTTTTGCATTGTTGCCAAAAAGTTCGATTTTGGTTTCATCTGACCAGAGCACCTTCTTCCACATGTTTGGTGTGTCTCCCAGGTGGCTTGTGGCAAACTTTAAACGACACTTTTTATGGATATCTTTAAGAAATGGCTTTCTTCTTGCCACTCTTCCATAAAGGCCAGATTTGTGCAGTATACGACTGATTGTTGTCCTATGGACAGAGTCTCCCACCTCAGCTGTAGATCTCTGCAGTTCATCCAGAGTGATCATGGGCCTCTTGGCTGCATCTCTGATCAGTCTTCTCCTTGTATGAGCTGAAAGTTTAGAGGGACGGCCAGGTCTTGGTAGATTTGCAGTGGTCTGATACTCCTTCCATTTCAATATTATCACTTGCACAGTGCTCCTTGGGATGTTTAAAGCTTGGGAAATCTTTTTGTATCCAAATCCGGCTTTAAACTTCTCCACAACAGTATCTCGGACCTGCCTGGTGTGTTCCTTGTTCTTCATGATGCTCTCTGCGCTTTAAACAGACCTCTGAGACTATCACAGTGCAGGTGCATTTATACGGAGACTTGATTACACACAGGTGGATTCTATTTATCATCATTAGTCATTTAGGTCAACATTGGATCATTCAGAGATCCTCACTGAACTTCTGGAGAGAGTTTGCTGCACTGAAAGTAAAGGGGCTGAATAATTTTGCACGCCCAATTATTCAGTTTTTTATTTGTTAAAAAAGTTTGAAATATCCAATCATTGAACATCATTGAACATACAAACACTGGCAATATATGTAGTGATGGACAAATGTTTGCTCTCAGTTAAAGGGAAAGTCTTGATTTTCATTCATTTTATTTACTTCAATCTGAGGTCATTCTCACCCATAATTCAAATGTGAACTATTTCAAGGTGACGCTGAGTAGACACTGTAACCTTTATTTGTGGTGACAAATTTAATCAGATCACAACTGTCTGAAATATTGGCAGTGAGCTTCAGAACAGGTTTTAGAACAGGTGGAAGTCTGTACAGTAGATGTTAAACTGGATAAAAGGATAGTGGAGCTGGGGGATTCTGTCACTCACTATGTGACACCATCTGATATTTCTGGAGACATCACTTAGGAAATGTATTCTGCAGTCTGTCCTTCAGAAGGATGCAGTAAATCCACAGGCAGATTAAACCTTATACCAAAGAAGACATGAGCCGCTGTGACTTTTTTCTCTTAACTTTGAGCAGTACCTTGCGATGCCTGTTTAACACAGGGAAACACGCCATGGCATTAACAGCATAGCGCTGTGAAATACACTGGTATTTATGTCGTTGTGCTGAGTTTCCATTTTAACACAAACAGCAGCAGCATCATCCCCGACAGTGAGTCTGATGCCTTTTCATACACAATGTCTCATTCACTGGCCGCTACCGCTTACATCTGGTATGCCATTCTTATTCTACTGGTGGCTTCACCTCTCAAAGGCACTGCTGCCACTGTGGCACCATGCGCTTTCTGCCAGCAATCCTGATTTGCACATAGCCCCCGGCGACCAAATGTGGCCCACTGTCAGTGTCAGAAGCATCTTGTGTCAACGTGCTGCTGCCCCATTGATTTGTTCTATAGGAAAGACATTGGTCAGAAATAACAAAACTGAAAGCAGACTAAGTGTGAAGTATAACAGAAGTCAACAATAACACGTCAGCATCTACAGCCCACAAGACAGTAATGTTATTACCAACACTGAGATGGGCAAAGTCAGCAGAAACTTAAATGAAACCCAGGAGGCAAAACATGTCTGATAAACAAGGGAGGAGCTCTGCAGCGGTCACACAGCAGACTTCAAATCATGACCCCATTAAATCCTAATGAAACTTTTCAGCAGTATTTTTTCTTTAAAATGAAAAAGACCCTGTTTAATTTTTCAGTTAAAATGGCTCTGATGTAATATAGATCAGATAATGGGTTTATTCAGCTCATTATAATTTAGCATGATGTATGTATTACCTGACCAATTTTAATTTATTATGTTCTAAATGTGGAGCTGAGCTAGTGAAATTCTTATTATTTAGACCTGCACTGTGTGAAAGAGAAAGACTCAGAGTCCATCCATCATCGCAACACCATCTTTCTCAGACTTCACAATTCAATGCAGAGTCAAATAATGTGAAATAGAACTGTATAGTGATGCAGAAATATTGATTGGTATCTGTGTCCACTGCACTCCATTTCCCTGCTGACAAGTGAACAATACCAGTTCCACTGGCAGAATGTAACTTCATGTCATTATGGTGTCTTAGGAATTAGATCTCAGACCGCAGCCTTCACATCGACAGCTGGATAGTATAGGATAAGCTATGCAATCGAACAGCTCACCGTTAGTAGTTAGTTACCCTTTGGATGAATATGGAAAATGTTTGCTTCTGTTATACATAATTAACAATCAAGATAGACATAGAATCCACTATTAACTAAAGCAAGGTTTACATGATAGTTATATATTGCCCAGAGCTAACAGTTTACCAGATTGTAGCATCTCAGCTAGCTTTAGCAATATGAACAAGCCACACAGTGAACAGATTATCCATCCATCAACATTTTACATCAGCATGAGCAATTACTAAATGTGGGCTGGGGAGAAAGAGAATCCAATTGCCAAACTTGCGATCAGCGGTCCTGCTCTACCCCTGAGCCATGGCCACCCCGTAATTATCTTGTAGTCCTTTTCTTTGCTTTTTTAACAAGGTGCATCAGAAAACATTCTCAGTTCTTTCGTAAAATGTTTATGCACCTCAGTATGGGCTCACTTAAGTTCTGAGCAGTGCTTTACACCATATTTGCAGTCCTAGGTACAATTATTTTACTCCATTTCCTACAAAGAGGAAGTTGCCTTGCAGCAAAAGGCCCTTAAAAGGTCTGCTATGGTTGACTGAGAGGCTCAGTCTGACTTCATCTCTAAATTATTTGCAAATGCCTAAATAAATTGACCTTTTTTCTTGTCATAAAAATACATCTATCCAGCACAATTGTTTGCATGTTTCCAATTCTCAGAAAAGTGACAGTATTTGTAACCCGAGTCTGTTTTGATATTCCCAAAGACTCCCTGTTACCATTGACTTCATACCATTATTTGAATATATGGAGCACAAAAAACCTAAATGTCCTCCCACTTTTTTTCCTGGTGAAAACTTTTGTAGCATTGCATAATGTACAAGTGGCCTTCAGAACACATTAAGAAAGAGCCTCTCAGTTATTTTATCAGCACCCTCTGTGTCTTGGAGGAAGTGAAGGCAACACAGCACTTTGAATCTCTGCATTTAATTCCTGTTTGCACACACACACACACACACCTACCTTACATTCTGCTCTGACTTTGCCTCTCTCTATAATAAACACAGGCCTGCAGGTGACAGATAAGGCATACAATATCCGCTCTAAGCTACCTGAGCACAGCATCTCCTTCCTCACCTTCTCTTCTGTAAATCTACCTTTCTTCCTCTTGTTGTTCCTCCTTAACCATAATTACCAGCTTCAGTTTCCCCCACATTCTCTTCCTCTATTTGAAAAGTCTAGTAAGAGGTCAACATGCAGCTTGTCAGTGGACAGATCGTCATAACATTTATAGACAAGCAGCTGATTATTTTTGCCTAAAGGCGTCCAATAGATCTATAGAAGCAGCACCATCCCCCAGGCTTTTATTTTCATTTAATGTTTTTTAATCCCCCATTTTAGTGATTTTAAGCAAATTGGCACAGTTGGGAACAGAGCTGCTTTTACCATTTAGCATTTTATTTGATGAGTAATAGTAATATTTTTTTTTTGAAATAGCAGAAAGGTGCCAAAATGGCAACCAGCGCAATGTAACACCAGACAATCTTTTATAAATGCAATGGTGCAATCACCACACAGTGAGATAGAAGAAGCGGGATGGGGAGTCTAACATATAACAAAGATCAAGTGGAAACCATGCCGCATCAACATAATAT